GAGTGTCCGGCGGGAGTGGGTCAGTCCCTCTGCCACTCTTACCCCCGGGGACGAATCCCCCACCAGAGGTCATCCCGAGGTTTTCATTTTGCCCAGGGAGAACCAAACCAGCTTTCCTCCCGCCCCAAGGCTTTGTGCTGATGTTCGAGCACCGGGAGGGAGCTCTGTGGAAACCACTGGGACTTGATGGCATCTGGTTCAAGTCTCAGCTGTGCCTTGTGGGATGGGACTTGTCAGGCCACCCTCCCTCCCAGCCGCCCTTCTTGCATCTATAAAATGGGGACTTTAAAGTCCACCTCCTGTGACAGCGAGGAGCAAACGAGACACCCGGCACCAAGCGCACGGCTCAGGGCACCAGGGTATTAGCTTTCCTTCCCTTTCCTCTGTCTTGAGAATCACTGCTCCGGAAAGAAAAGCCCCTGTGTCATGTCTGGGCCATCTCCAATTCCTGGGAAGGCAGGAAGACAGGATTGAATCCACTGATGGTCTTGCCTGTGCTCATCCTTCAAGGCTCCGATTGGTACCCTCCTCCAGGAAGGCTGCCTTGACTGCTCAGTCTATGCTCATTTCTCTCTTCTCACCCTGCCCTTCTCCCAGTGTGGTTCGGGGGCTGTTCCCCAGCCACCTTGTGCATGGCAGGTGTGGAGTGCTTGAGGCTGTCCGCAGGCCCAGGACAGAGCCTTAAAATGATGACACTGATGATGGTAATGACTGTTCCCACGAGCTGGCATTAGTTAGATGCCTCGCACACACCCTCTCATTCAGTCCTCCCGACAGCCCTTTGAAGTAAGGCTGAGCCGTTTGGGTTGCATCTGGCTCTGCCATTCACTGGCTGTGTGACCTTGGGCAAGTTATTTAACCTCTCTGTGCCCGCCTCACAGAACTGTGGTGAGAATAAGCAACGTGCTCAGAACAGGGACTGCCGTGGGTCAGGTGCTCAGTGTCATTGCTGATAGGATTATGATCCCCATTCTACGGATGAGGAAACAGACTCAGACAGGTTAAAGGACTTTCCCAAGGTCAGACAGCTGGGACGTCGAGAGCAGGACACGGCCACCACACCTACTGCCCTTTCTCTTGTCGGCCCACAGGCTGAGCACCCAGGACTGCTACGCCACGGCGCATCCAAGCCGGAAGGGACCCCAGAGCTAACCCAGCTTTCTGCAGCAGCCCTGCAAGGTGGGCCGGCCCCTGCTAGAACTCCCGTGCCTGCTCGTCCACCGCTGAGTGTGTCCCCAGCGCCTGGCACCCACTAGACCCAAAAGAAACACTTGATGAGTGTGTGAGTGAACAAACCAGGATCCTGCTCTCTGTGTCCCGCACCCCGGGGTGGTCTTGTCACGGGGCCCCCGGAATCGCACGTTTGATGATTCTGGAGATTTCATCTCCACCCCATGGCCGTCCCACGCACGGCGTTCTCTGCAAATCCCCAGCACGGCTCATCTCAGGTGACACCAAGATGCTGTGGCCTTTGCCTCTGGTTGCCCTGACCTGTCCTCTGTCCTTTAAGGAAGCTCTGTGGGGAGGAGCCAGCTCCAGGCTTCCTGGGGCAGGTCAAACTGGAGACACATGTGCCCAGCAGGCACAAGGCAGCCGGGGCAGGTGAGTCACTCCCGTGGCACACAGCCCGGGAACAGGCAGTGGCGCCAGGGTCACATGGCACCCCTCCTCCCGCATTGCCCCTGGGCACAGCCTCTGTGGCTGCACCTCCTTCAGTGGCCATTGAATCCCCTCCCAACTCCTCATTGCCCACCCACCAGCTACAAGCCTGGGCCTGTTCCAGGCTTGGTTCACTCCCATGACCAGCTCCTCACCCCCTCTCATCCAATCCCTCGGACAATCCCCACCACTGCTTCCCACTACGTTCACTCTGATTTTAAAAGTCTTAGTCTAGGAGACTTGTTCTCAATGGGTGGGCGATTTTGCCCCCGAGGGCACATTTGGCAGCGTCTGGAGACGTTTTTGGTTGTCACAACTGAGGAGGGTGCTACTGGCTTCTAGTAAATAGAGGCCAGGATGCCGCTCAATGCCCTACAGTGCCCAGGACAGCCCCCGCGACAAGGAATCATCTCAGTATCCCGACCGCCTGTTCCCAGCTCGGCCTTATGCCTGGGACCCTTGAAGCTCCTCGAAAGCCTAAGAAGCCAACTCCCTGGTGGTTCCTAGAGTCCAGATCCTAAAACCCTGCCCAAACCCCCCTTTTCTTCCTGGGAGAGAGAGAAGATGGGGCCTTAAAGGCCATGCATGATGCATGGGCGTTGAGTGGCTTGAGGAAACCAGACCTGAAATCCCTCGAGTGGCAGAGCAGCTAAAAGTGTCAGACTGTGGGTTTAAATCCTGGCTTTGCCACCATGTGATTTAAGGGAATGGCTCGCCCTCTTCCTGCCTTGGATTTTCCCTTCTGCAGGTGAGATGGTGCTGATAATAAACCTGGCTCATAGGGCTGTTGCAAGGGTTAAATTTGAAAGTTAGTGTTTGAGGCTTCAATTCAAGTTTTTTCAAGCTCTGAGAGCTGTGCCTGGCATGTAGTAAGTGCTATGTAAGTACATATGGTTTTTAAAAAATGATTGACACTCTGTTTTCAGGCTCATAGGCTTAGGATAGGGGTGGGGTATATGCCTCTTCCTATTCTTATGTGCTCCAGACAGACCCCCAGCCCAGCCTGCAGGATCCTCTGGACAGAGAAAGTGCCCAGTCCCCCCCCGACCCCCACCCCATGGCAGCAGCACTGGACCAGAGCTCAGCCACTGCAAGCCTCTTCTGCCCTGTTCAGCCTCCCATGCTTTAAATCCCCTGGCTGGGGTCTCCAAGAAACCCCAGCTGAGCAAGGCAAGGACCCAAGCTTCCTTGATTGGCTGTTTTTCCAAGGTCGAGGCTGGGGAATGGGCAGACAAGCCAGGCCTGAGCCTGAAGAAGCCCCAGCTTGCAGGGGAGAAGGGCCGCTGCGCCTTCTGGGTCTTACCCATAAATGTCCACGAGGGTCTCCACGCCAGCCACACACACGGCGCTGGTGGGATGCTCCAGGGACACACGCACCATCCTCTGCATCGACATCCTGGCCTCGGACTGGGCTAGACCACCAACCCCAACACTGCCCCAGAGGCCTTGCATGATGTGGTTTAAATATCCCTGGCCCTGCCCCTCCAGCTCAGAGTGCTAGCTCATTGGCTCCAGTCCTGGAAGCCCAACCTCCTCCCCGAGCCGAGAGCTCAGGATTGGCTGGAAGGGACCCAATATTTGCATATGTACCTGTTGCCCCACCCCAGCAACCAGGGAGCTAATTTCTTGCTCTAAGTCACCACAGATACCAGGGCACTAGCGGGGAGCTTCCCTACCCCGCTGGGGCAGCAGGTGAAAATGCAAATTTCCAGGCCCCGCTCCAGGCTGAAGCAGAGCGTTGGGGGTGCAGCCAGCATCTGGATTTTTTACAAGCACCTCAAAGGATTTTGATGCCTTTTGAGAAACACTGACTTTTTTTTTTTTTAGCATGGATTTTAAAGGCAGACTGGGTTTCAGCGCTGCCTCAGCCACTTCCTGGCTGGGCAACCTTGGGCAAGTCTCTTCATTGCTCCGTGCCTCACTTTTTCCATCTGAGCAATGGTTGCTGAGCAAATGGGCCAAGTTTGGCAGAGCTCTAGGATGGAGCTTGACGTTATTAAATTACTATTGTGGGTATTATTATCAGATGCCAAAAACCTCTGAAAGAGGTAAATGATGAGGGTGAAAACCCTCCCCAGCCAGGGGGAGATTAGAATGTCAGAGTAGGAAGGCTTACTCGTCAGGTGGGGAAACTGAGGCCAGAGGGGGCATTTGGGCACCCGAAACAGGAACAAGGGCTCTGGGTAGAGGAGCCTTGGGTTCAGAGCCAGGCTCCACCATGCACGCGTGATAGGGCCTGGGGGATAATATCACCTCTCTGCGAGCCTTAATTTCCTCACCTGTAGAAAATGCAGCTAATCACTGGTGCTGGGAGAGATAAGAGCGGGACGCACTCCCCGGGCAGGGGCCCAGAATGTGCTGAATAAAGGCCTCCTCCCTCCTCCCTGGCAGTGCTGACAGTCCGAGGCAGGTGGGGACCAGGACCTGCTCCCTAGCATCCCCAGCTGGTGCATTTGCACCAGTTCAAGGATCTCAGCAGGACCCTAAGACTGTCGCTCCTGTGTCCCAGTTTCTTGGAAGCGTGTTCTTTTCAAAGAGAGCTGCTGGGCTGCTGGGTCAAGTGACAGCTTCACTTTTTGCAGCTGTAAAATGGCTTGGTGGCTGGCTCAGCTATGGGTAAGAGTTCAAACTCAGGAGCAAGCCCCACAGTCTCCCTAACCTGCTTGTGAGCACAGCTGGGGAACACACGCAGCAAGTTGGGGCTTCCCCTGGGCACTGAGCTACTACCAGCCTCCTGCTCAGAGCCCTCTGTCTCCCTTGGAAGAAGAGCCATCACTTCTCTTCGGTTAATACCAGCTTTTAGAAACAGGTCTGTGGCTCATTCAGACTAAAGTGTCAATGACTTATAGGCAGCAACTTTTTGCCTCTAAGCTAAAATAAAATGAGGGAGTGAGTGTCAAAGGGTATAATCTGAGGCAGCAGTAAGTGTGTAAGATGAAAAGGGAATATTTTTAGGCCATGGAATCAGACCACTGAGGCCAGGTAACTTAGACACTTTAAAGGCAGAAATGAAAGGGAACTAGAGTGGCCTGTGGTCTTGGGCACCGCCTCTGCCAACGGGGCCCAGCTGCCTCCCCCAGCCCCTCTTCAGCGTCCTTGAGAGGTGGAGGTGGCCCAGGGGAGGGAGAAGAGAGGAAAAGGCAGGACTTGTCCCTTCTATGATGCCCATCTCAGCAGGACCCGTCTGCCCCAGGGCAATGGGCATGGGCCTGTCGTCCTGCTGAGTCAGCCTGCCTGCCTGGCCTGGCCTGGGAGGCTGTCCCTGTGGGTAGGGGCTGCCTGTGCCAGCAGAAGTGAGGCCAAGGAGCTGGTGGCAAGGTCGTGGGACTGGAAGCAGGTCCCACTCGCCTTCCTCCCTCCCCGCCGCAGCCCAACAACAGAAGCCAAGGAGGCAGCCACTTGAAATGCTTGCTGACGTCTTTTATTGATCAGAAAGGAGGTGCCTGGTCACCCAGGACATTCTCAGAGTGGACACCAGGGCCCCCCCCAATGACTCCAGAGCTTCCTATGCTCAGCGTGGCTCAGAAGGCTTGTCCCCCGCACTCCCCATGTCTCCACCATCTCTCTGCCGCGCCCACTCTCCTCCCGCCCACAGCTCCTTCCCTGGGGACACCCAACCCCAGCCTCACACCCTCGGCCCCTGAAGAGTCTACTGTCCTGCTCCTCCCTCTTGGCTCAGCCTAGCCTGGGTCGTGATCCTAAGCAGAGGGTGCTCAGGCTAAAGCAGGAGCTTGCAAATAGGGTTCTGCAGAACCTTCTGGAAGGGGAGGATCCAGGTTCCCACCCCCCACTTTAACCATAGCAATTCCATGCAAGCCTCTGTTTGCTAAGTGTTCTAAGGCTAAGAGTGACAGTAGCTGGCTCAGTCTGAGCCAAGGGCCACCAAAAACCCAGACAGGCAGAGGAGCCCCGAGAAGGCCCCAGAGGTGGGAAGGAAGGAGGCTGGCTCCCTCCTGCCTGAGCACTGCAGCCCAGCCCAGCCCACGGCCTGTGCATATCTAGGTGACCTCACCAGGGCTATTTCCCGAGGCAGCTCTATCTTCCCTACTATGGGAGGGGACACAGGCCTGCACGGTTTATGACGGTTTACTCAGGAGTGAAACCCAAGCTACGTGCAAGGTCCCAGGATGCTGAGAGAGACCAGGGAGCCTTCCCCTCCCACTGCCTGCAGAGGAAGGAGAATAATTAAAGGCTATTAAAGGAAATTAAACCCCACCTACAGAGATAACTTAATGCCCCCCCACCCTCTTCTCACCTCTGGGCCCCGCCCCCTGCTACATCTGGAACAGCCAGCACCCTTCAAATCCACAGTCCTCAACCCAAAGCCCAGGAACCCCGGGACACAGAAGCCTCTAGGCCTGGAGATCTGTTGTCCGTGGGCACTTGGCCTTCTCTGCCTTCTGGCCTGTCCCCTCCTGCCTCGTCTTCCTGTATGTCCTCAGGCCTAATGTGGCCCCTCGGCACTTTTGAGCCGGAAGCGCCAGGTCTGGTAATTAAAGGCTTTTCTGGCAGGTAACAAGCACCCTGCTGAGGACAGAGTCAGGTATTAATTGTTGTCTTTTTTTTTTTTTCTTTTTAAAATAGGCCCTGGGACACTGGGTTTTCCTGTCTCTGTTTGGCTGCATACAGCTGAAGTGTACTGGGGTGGGGTGGGGGGGGTCACAGCTTTGGGTCCCCTTCGGGGGGAGAAAGGGGGTGGAGGGAAGAGGAGGCCTCTGGTCTCCCCTCTCAGTCTGGCAGGAGCCGGAGGTGGCCTGGAACCCGGCCCCGCCCCAGAGCCCAGGCCCTCCGGGTGCAGGCAGTTATTATCCGTGTGCCCCAGGGAGGTGTCAGGATCGGGGGGAGCAATTCGAAGCGGGGTCCGCCCGCCCAGGCCCTTGCGGGGGCCATTCCTGGACAGGCTACGGCTGCTGGTCTTCTCCAGCGCCTCTGGGGCTGCGGGTGCGGAAGAGGAAGGGGAAGAAGGAGGGGAGTCCTTCTCAGGCTGGGCAGGCCACTCCAGAGGCGAGGAGGGGCAGTGTCCGTCCCTGCGTCCCGGTGCCCACGGTGGCCAGCACGTTTGCAAAGCGCCAAGGCCCCCCCAAGAGGACGGAGTCCAGGAGGGTTGGGTCCCCCAGCAAGAGGGCAGACAGGACGGCGGTGGGCGCCGGCTCAGGGCACCATGTTCCACCACTTGAAGGGAAAGGGCTTCCGGCGCACGTTGGTGCCACAGTGGATCTCCCCCAACAGCTTGTGGTAGGACAGGTAGTCGTCGATGAAGACGCAGCGCAGGCCCAGCGGCTCCAGCAGGGACCGCACTTTCTCTTCCAGGCAGCAGCGGCCATTGATGATGGGTCCGTAGGGCTTGGGGATGCCCAGGTACCTGCCCAAGACCACCATGTTGACCTGCAACAGAGAAAGCAAGAGGGAGGCTGGGCTGGCTGTGAATGCCCTACCCCTGGGCCCCTTCTGGGCTCTGGCTGCTGCCGGCCCAGCCCCAGGACCTGTCCTGTTCTTGCCAGCATTCCTGGGCTGCCAGGACTGGGGCTCGCTCAAGAGCTAGGATCTATGGAAGCAGAGAAGACACAGATTCAGCATTGGAAGGGAGGATTGGTAACAGCCAGGGCTGCCCGTAACATACACAGTAACTTTGTGTGAACCAAAGTCACCCCTGCCTCCAACACTTTCTTCTGTCTATCAGAAAATTGTCATATTATAACAACTTTGTTAGAATAAGAGAATTTATTGTCATTTGCCAGAAACTTGTACAATAAATATACACATCTATGAGGTCTATGATGTGAAAGTCCTCATAAGTGTGGTGCGCTTGTGCAGTACACAGCTTGCTGAACTGTCCTTGGCAGCCCTGACCATTGTTACCATTCATCGAGCAACTTCAGTGTGCCAGACATCATCACTACATCTCACAGCCTCCCTCTGAGGCTGTGGCTTGGACAGGTGAAGCAACATAACAGCCACACAGCCAGAGAACAATGAGACTAAAATCTGGACTTGGATCTGACTCGTGCCAAAACCCATACTCTTTATACCTTGCCAGAATGTGGTACTCTGGCTAGCTGTGGGACTGAGGAGCTGGGAAAAGGGGCTGGAAGCCCTTGGGGACACCTGCATTTATCTCGGGTGGCACCTCTGCTTCCCTTGGTTGTGGACTGGGCTTGGGGCCCTAATGCCAGGGAAGGGGAGCTTCTCCGGTGCCAGGGCAGGGAGGTTCCTTAGAGGAAATCTCAGCCCCAGATTGATGGCAAGAGTCACAAGGGGCTGCCCTTGGGGTTCAAAGGGGACTTTGGACCTGCTGTCTAGAGGGTGACTCTGGGCTGTCATTTGCCAGAATGTGCCCTCAAACTCTCCATGCCCTGAGCCCTCCACCCTCAAGTGTGCCCTGCAGGGCCATCCATGGCTAGGACCAGCATGAAGCTGGAGGGTCCCATGATGTCAGTCCCCTGGCCTTGGCACCAAACTACCTAGTTGTCCACTAAGGGGCCAGAACATGCCGGGTGGGGGTGGGGCATGCAGGGGACAAGAGCAGGGAAGGGGCAAGGAGCCAGACTCAGGACCACTCTCTTCCTCCTGAGTGAGGAGCCACAAGACTGGGGGCTGCTCCCAGCTCTGCCAGTCACCCACTCTCCTTCTGAGGGCCTCAGTTTCCCCATCTGACAAACGAGGGTGCCTAATGGGCAGGGGCTTCCAGCAGGTGGAGGCCAGGCCACAGCCTGAGGAGGGCTGACCAAGGTCATGGGCTCCAGCCTAGACCCTTTCCCCACCCTACGCCAGAACCAGAGCCACGTAGTCCCTTGGGGCTTCACCGTCCAGTGTGGTAGCCACCAGCCACGTGTGGCTGTTAAACTGAAAATTAAATAAAATGAACATTTCTGTTGTTTATCTGCACTGGCCACATTTGAAGTGCCCCCTAGCCACATGTGGCTGAGTGACTACTACATTGTATTGTGTAGATATAAAATCTTTTCATCATCACAGAAAGTTCTAACAGACAACACTGCCTTCGAGCAGCTGTTCTCCATCGGGGGCAATTGTGTCCCAGAGGGCACTTTCGATTGTCACAACCAGGGGAGTCCTACTGGCAACCAGTGGGTAGAGACCAGGGAGCCCACTAAACATCCTAGAGCGTGCAGGGCAGTGCCCACAACAAAGGATCATCCAGCCCAAAATAGCAGTAGAGCTATGGGGTTGAAAAATCCTGCCTTCAAGGTCTCTGCCAGCACCTGGGGGCCGGAACCCCCCAGTGAGGAGTCAGAAGCGAGTGCAGGTCCTCCCCCCCGCCTCCAACTGCATCCTGATCCCCAAATTCACTTCCAACCCCCTGGCTTGTCCAATGAGAGGGATTCACGCTAACGGCCCCAATGTGAAGAGGGAGGGTCTAGACCCAACCTGGGGGACCACCCCTCCCAGCTGCCAACACCCCGACATCCTTTCCCAAGGGGTTAATGGGTGCTTTGGCCTGGCCTGCAGCCATAGCATCTCTCGGCCCCTCCCAGGTGACACGCAGGTGAGATCACCTCTGCTCATCTGCTTGTCAGCTGTTCCGTTAATGAGAGCCGGGAGGCCACCACCTGCCCCACCTGCCCAACTCAGGAGCCCCACTGGGGAGCAGCCGGGGTGGGGACAGAGCCGGAGCTGAGGCCAGAAACAGAAGCCGGGAACATCTGGAACAAAACCATGCTTTCTTTTTCCATTTGGAAAAAGTAAAAAATTAAAAGAGCGCTTTGTGGTGGGGGCCCTCCCGGGCACTGCAGGGTGTTAATAGCCCCGTCTCTACCCACTGGGTGCCAGGGCCACCCACCTCGTGGTGGCAATAAAAGTGCCCTGGGGGCAAAATGGCCCCCGTTGAGAACCCCTGACGGAAACATTCTCTATGTGCACGAAAACAGACACCAGAGAGGGCTGCGGGGTCTGCGCCAGCCGGCCCTTGACCGCGGGGCTTCTCCTCTGACCCCGGCAGACCCCCAGCCAGGGCCCTGCCCCTCACCATGTCCGGGAAGAAGGCTTCCGCGTAGGAGCCCCTCACGGAGAACAGCTGGGGGACGTCCACGATGTCGCGCTCCGTCAGGCCCAGCTCCCGCTTCAGCACCTCGCGATTCCAGTCGATGCATTTCTGGGGGCAGAGCACACCCCGAGACGAGGAAGGGTGTCACGCTTGCCGAGCGCCTACTGTGCGCCCGCCCGTGCAGCCCTCTGTGCCCATCAGCTCCTTTGAGTCTCACAACAGCCCTGAGCACTAGAAGCCAGAGCTATCCTGGGGAAACTGAGGCTCAAGCAGCCTGCCCAAGGGCACACAACCAGGAGGTGGCGGAGCCGGGGTTTGGACCCAGGCAGCTTCTGGTTCCAAAAGTCCTGTCACCACAACACACTGTCCCAGCCACAGCCACAGCCTGCTGCTCCTGCCCCATCTCGGCAGTTCGGGAGAAAGTGCCGGGCACCGCTGCGGAGGGGCGAGGGGCCGCCTCCCATTTACCAATCCCCAGCTCTGTGCCAGGCCCCGCACCGGGCACGTGGCAGGCCTGATCCTTGGGTGAGCCCTGCCCCTTCCTGAGCCCTCCTTCCCCTGTTCTCACAGGATCCCCTCCCCGCCCCCACTGGGTCCTATTTCTCCCCAACATCTCTCTCGTTTCGCCAGACCTCACAGCTGAGAGCTCAGGCTTGCGCCCGCCCGTGGAAAGGGGTCATTTCCCCAGAGCAGGGCCAGGCCTCCCCCATCAGACTGGGAGCTCCCTGAGGGCTCTCTCCCCCATCAGACTGTAAGGCAGAGGCTCTATCCCACCCACAGGTCCCAGCAGCCCCCAGGACAGGCAGAGGCCCAGGGCCAAATCCCCCACCTGCCCAACAGTTCCTGGGGCTGCTTCTCCTGGAGGGCGAGGGACCCTTAGAGCAGCTGGTGGTCCTGCCCCTCACCTGTGCGTGGAGACTGTCGCTCTGGAGGCGTCTGTCCACCAGCATCTCATTAATGCTTATCTTTGCTGTGTATTTTAACCCTGCAAGAGAAAGACCATGTGTGGGCTCAGGGAGTGCTGCCTCCTAGGGGCCACCTTGGACCCGAGGCTGCAAAATCCAGGCCAGGATTTCTCTCCCACCTCAGGGCCAGGGTCTGAAGCCAGGATGGAGAAAGCCAGAGACTGGAGACCGTGCTGGGCCTGGACCCTGGCTGTAGGTAAAACCTGGCAATGGATCAATCAGCAACCCCTTGGGAGGGGATTCCAGGACTCTAACCCTAATAATTATGGTACAGGTACCGTTACTGAATGCCCACCATGCTCTGGGGACCCTATTTAATTTATTATTAGTCTTTAAAACAATTCTAGGAGGGGTTAATTATCACCTCCAATTCAGAGAAGAGAAAACTGAGGCACTGAAAGATTCAGAACACACCCTGATACCACCGCCAGCAAGTGTCAAGACCAGGATTTGAACCCAGGACCTTCCATGCGGAAGGCTGCGCCGCATCCCTTCCGATGCTCCGTTCCCGAGGTGAGAACACGGAAGCCCATGCTCAGATGGGCCAACCAGGTCCTGGAGGGTCCGGCAGCTCCTGAAGGAGGTTGCAGAGGGGCCCTGACCACAGACCCCACTCTGGAGCTGACCACTCCTCCCACTCTGGAGCTCCCAGCCCTGCTGCTCAGTGACTGCGTAGACCTGGGCAGGCCACTTCTCCTCGCTCAGCCTCAGTTTCCTCTGCCATGAACAGGGGTAAGAAAGGGGGTGGGAGATCAGACCGGAGCGAGAACATGAACATGCCCGGCCCAGACTGGCATGTGGGGCACTCATGGCTTCCTTTCCCTTTCCTTCCCTGGGGCATGGCCTAGGGGATGCCCCACCCCTCAGAGGACCTGGGGCAATCCACTGTCCCCTCTCTTCCCATCCCCGACCCAAGAAAGGGAGAGCTCTCATCCTTAGCTCCCACGTGCGGGTGTCGGGCTCCGAGCCAGCCGCAAGATCTGCAGATGAAGGGGCTATGCCTGAGGGCACAGCTGTAACTGGCACCAACAGTGTCCGGGGCTGGTGATGACCAGACAGAATCCCCAGGGTTGACTGGGCCATTGGCACTCACCATCAAACTGGGCCGCCTCCCCGTAGCCCTCCTCTTTCTTCTCTTGGAAGAGTTTGAGGCAAGCGCTGGGGCTAGCCAGGAGCAGCCGGAAGCCCTGGCACAGAGGGAGGGAGAACGGCTCAGCGGACAGCAGGGGCCTGACTGTGCTCTCGCCCTCAGGCCTGCCCAGCAGCCACAAAGAACCGTCTGCAGTTCTCCCAGTCTTCCAAGCTGGTTCCCCACTCCAGGCCCTTGCCTGTGCTGTTCTCCCTGCCAGGAAGCCCTTCCTCCCTTTGCCCACCAGGGAACTCCAATTTCTTCCCTCAAGACCCAACTCAGGTGTCTCCTGCACTGGCAGAGGGATAGCTCCTTGGCATATGCTCCGCTGTGCCCTCTCCCTGCCCCTGTCAGAGCTCTTACCACTGGGCCGTAACCACTGGTCACTGGGAGGCCTCCTTGCCCAGGCTGCTCCCCAAGGGCTGGGCCCTCCCTGGCCACCTCCACAAAGCGGTGGAGGTGCATGGTTACAGGCCCAGAACCCACATCTGGATTTGAATCCTATCCTGCCACCTGCAGGCTGTGTGAGCTTGGGTAGTTAATGGCACTTCCAAGCCTCAGTTTCCTCACCTGTAAAATGGAGGCAATAATCGTAACACCCACCGTATGGGCTGGTTGGAGGATTAAATGAATTAAAATATGTGGACAGTTTGGCACGTAGCAGGTGCTCAGTGAATATTACTGATCACTATCAATGTTCCCGGCCCTTGGCTGAGGGGTTTGGTTCCAAGCAAACGGGCAGTAAGTGTGAGAACGAGCACCCGAGTAGGGAGCAAATGAGTGCCTTCCTGGCCTGAGGCTTCGGCCGCCTCCAAGTAGTCCCCCTTCCCCACTGACATGGCCTGACCCCAAGGGTGTCCTGACCCCGAGCTCCCTGTGGGCACAGGGTTGAGCTGGTCCAGGTGGCTTCGCCCTGTCTCATCCCATCGGGTCAGGCAGGGGCAAAAGTGGCTCAGGCAGGAAGGGAGGGAGGGGACGCACCTTTCGGTCGGAGGTGGGCACGAAGCACAGGAACTCGTCCACGTGGCCCACGGAGAGCCAGTCCGAATAGAGCTGCACGGGCGCCTGCACCTGCTGGGCCTGCAGGAAGTTTCTCACCACCCTGGCCATCTGTCGCCCGCCGGACCTGGCCGGGGAGGGAGACAGCGGGCAGTCACCTTGTGCCTACCGTGTGCTGGCATCCTTCGTGTGCGCCCGCAACAAGCCTCACGACAACTCTCTGAGTGGGGAGAGCTGGGGTGACTCAGCCTGGGCCACACGGCTGCAAGGTGACGACAGGGCCAACCTCCCTGATTTCAAGCCCAGCAGTTCGAAGCCCAAGCCAAGGCCAGGGCGCTGGAGGCCGAGGTGTGGATGGGGGAGGGGACCTGCCCCAGGAAGAGACGGTGCTGACCTACCATAGACCAGGCCTGCGCCAGCTGCCACAGTTTGTGCCAGGCACAGGCTACGACCCCCTGCCCCACCCCCCAAGGGCTCCCAGGAACACATTCTTCATCCAGAGTGTCTAGGCCACCCCAACCGCAAACAGCCTCCTCGAGGCCAGAAGGGTCCTTCCCCCGCCCAAAGGACCCGCCGGGGAGAGCTGCATTTGCCAAAGGGAACTGGCGACCCTCATCTTACAGCCCAGCGCTCAGAGGTTGTCTCCTTACTCAAGGGACACACAGCCTGTTGCTCAAAATATGACAGGGACCTGGTGAGCCGCCCCCTCGGCCCAGCGTTTCCCACAGTGTGGGGCTCAGACTCCGGCCGGGGGTGGGCACCCTTACACCTCACAGTCCCTGGGGCCGTGGCTGGGAATCGCGTTTGGACAAGCCTCCGCTTCTTACGCCTGCCGGAGCTGGAGAGCCACTGCCCCGGCGTTCTGTGCTCCGCGCTGCCTGACACCCGGTCCAGGCGTGCTCAGACACCCTTTGCCGGCAGCGGGGAGGGCCAGGGAGGGGCTGACACAGAAAGATGGCGCTTAGAGCAGGGGACAGTGGGGCCGGACTGGAGTTCCTCAGCTCAGAGGGAGAAGACATGTACCAAATGCCACCTGTGCGTGGGAGGGATCCCCGGACGCCGCCTGAGGCAAGGAGGTGTCCCCATTTCACAAAGGAAGTGACTCGTCAAAGGCAGAATGCCTTATTACGCTCTGGATGTTTCCACCTTTCCTGGCCGTGTACGAAAGGCACAAACACACACTATCTATATAGATTTTTTCCCAATATATTTTACTTAAAGAGGATCACGTTTCTTGCCCTTGCTTGCCCAGCTTAAGGACATATCATGAATGAGCTCCCCGGCCTGCGTTTAATCTGGTGGCTCTGCCTTAAACCAAGGACAGAATCCAGAGCTTCCTCCTGTCCTCCTCTGCCATCTGCCACCCCCTGGCCAGCTGACACCTCCCTTGCCTGGATCATCAGTGGCCTGTCCCTTTCCCTGTCTCTCTGTTTTCACCCCGTACTTCCCTCAGTCTAACCAGAGGGAGGCTTTTAATCCATCAGATCATGTCCCTCCTCTGCTTGCAACCGACACAACTCCCGGCTCACTCACAGTAAATGCAAAGCCCTTTACTGACCCGCACAGCCTTCCTGACCCGGCCTCCTTCCCGCCACCTCCTGCCACTCCCTTCTTCATTTGTTCAGTACCGGCCATGTTGGCCTCCTGCTTTTCCATTCCTGCCTCAGGGCCTTTGCACCTGCTGTTCTCTGTACCCAGAATGTTGCCAACCCCCCATGGCCCCATGGCCTACTACTCTCTTACCTCCTTCAGGTTTAACTCAAATCTCACCTTCTCTCTCTATGAGGGCTTTGAAAATTGCAACAGCCCCCAACCCCCTTCCTGGCTTTATTTTTCCCTACAGCATTGGGTACCATCCAGCATACCTACATCCTATTCATTGTCTCACAGCCCCCTGGGATGTAAACCCCACAACAGTAGGGGTTTCTGTCTAAGCAATTCTCTGCTGTACCCCCAGCACCTCGCATATACTAGATGCTCAGAAAACATTTGCAAATGATACGAATGCCTCTGAGCCTCTGTGTAAGAATCCCTGACCTACATCAACGTGAATATGCCCTACGCAAAGACCAGAGGGAGACCAGACAAGCAGTGACAAATGAAAACACTCCTTTGAATTCAGGGGAGGGGATTATGGGAAATATTTTCCTTGTGCTTCTGTTATTTTCATACAGTGTTAGCAATTTTAAAGGATTTCTTTAAAAACAGTGAGATGGCGGGGAGAAGAAATAGACTTCGGAGGTTGTTCGGGAGAAGGAAGCAGCAAGAACCAGAACCAGACGAGGCTGGGGAAGGGGCAGGGTCCCTCCTTGGGACACTCTCCAGCCCTCTGCCCAGAGGCAGGGGGACGACACCGCTACTCCAGCCCGGGAGGCATCAGACCCTGTCTCTGAGCCATCATCACAGCCACCACCAGGGGGCGGAATTGCTCAACGAACGTTGTAACCGTGGGCACAGAGGGCGGGGAACCCCCCACAGCAGAGAAGGGACTGGGCATTTGTTGAGCACCTACTGTGTGCCTGCCTTAGGTTCCTCGCACTCGGTATCTTGTTTAATCCTCCTGGTAACCCCATGATGCACGTACAATACCAGCTCCAGGTTACGATCTGAAGGATGCTCTCTGATCTCACTCCCCACCACGCCCCTCCTTGTTCCAGCTGCTCCAGCCCCACTGGCCTCCTTGCTGTCCCTCTAATGTCCCCAGCATGCTCCTGCCTCAGGGCCTTAGCACAGGCTGTTTCCACTCTCTTCCTAAATAGCCACACCTTTAATTCCCTTATTTCCTTCAAAGCTTTGTTTAAATGTCAGATTCTCCCCAAGGCTTGAACAAAATTAACTGACCACCTACTATGTGCCACACACACAGTGCTTTACCCAGGTTACCT